CTAGGCTTTGCTCGTTGGTAGGGTAGGGTATTGAAGGTAACGAGGACGGCTGTACCAATGAGGAATGCTACTAATACAGATCTCCTTGCGCCCGCGCGATCATATTGGACTGTTTCATTTCAAGCGCTCTTCGTGCTGGTCAGTTCCTTCGTTTGCACTCCCGTGCTGGTCGTCCATCATACCAATTTTGCAATCTTATATAGCAAGCTTGAACATTTGGAGATGCTCGGTACATTATAGTAAAATTGAAAAAACTAAGGAAACGCAATAAATTAAAATCGCGTGTGCATTTCTGCGATCCGGCTCGAATCCGGCTCTGCTATAGAAATACTTCAAACTAACGAGTGGGACGCTTAGGCCGTTTTTATTTTGATGTTTTGTGGGAATGCGCGGCCTGCGAGGGCTGTTGCAGAAGCAGCACAGTTGCTCTTGAGTTCTAGCCCTCGTCATCATCTTCAGTTCTTATTTTGCAGCACCTAAAATGTTATCCGCATCAGGAAATTGCGTTTTACTTGTATTCCAAAGCGCAATTACAGGACTTGGCAAAGTGCCAAGAGAGCCGCACGCGACACGCGCTTACGACGGATGTTAGCATGAACGGGAATCTGCGCCGCAAAAAGGTATGGGCGGAGCATGGAGGAATTAGCGTGTTTCACGGTCCTGTATCTCCATTCCTGCGCATGTTAGGACGGGGAAACCGCTACGCTTCGACAGCTGGGGGGCTGATAGTCACGCACCAGGTGTGGCCCTGGCATTGAATGTAAGAGAGCCAACGTTAAAAACATTGCACTAAAAAGTTCGAAACAAATGTGCTAAATTGCAAGAGTTCATTGAAACCTAGAAATTCGCAAAAATCAATACATGTTTAAATGCAAACATAGCTATATACATTTTTCCTGATAATTACAGAGCTTCTTTAGACCGGCGTTAGTCGAACACATTGTGGCTTCGGCAACATTACAGTGGCTAGAGTTGGCTCCAAATCAATTTCGCGTCCCTTCACGGGCTCAATCTGAAATAGGAGTATAAATCCCGAATTCGAGATCGTTTGGAGTACCCGTTCCAAAATATTCGAGATCGTTTGGAGTACCCGTTCCAAAATATGAAAAATATGTATTTTAGTACCTTGAAGTTCTGCACCAACGTGATCAGTCCGATGAAGAGTTCCATTTTCGCCATCCCTTCACCGAGACATACCCTTTTTCCGATGGAAAACGGACAGAATTGCTCGACTGCTTCCTGGAATTGACTTATAGTAGATCAATGGTAGGGGACTTCCAGGTATAATACATTCAAAGCCATATTTCATGGCCGCAGTACATGACATGGAATAGATCTGAGGGTGCTGGTTGGCTTGATCGTGAATAACAAAAACCGTTGAAATCCTCCAGTGATAGCCTCTAATTCGGAACTCATCCCTGAAAGGAGCTATGCGCCCAGAAGAGAGGCAGGACGACGAAAGGGTGAGAGGGCGCAGAAACGAGCGAAATGCAGCTATAGAAGTATTCTTCCCTCGCGTACATTCCAGAAACCAGACTAGTCTAATAGTTGAAAGTAGGTCTACAGGGAAGGGTAAAGCAGGGCAGAATGCACCTTTACTTAACTAGGCTTTTGGATCTACAAATTGATAACTGTAAATAAAGGGGTAGTGATTCCAAAGGCCTCTTGGAAAGAGGAGAAGAGAAGAATGGTAGTATTTAGATAAGATAGTCGAAAGGCTTATAAGGAAAAAAAGAATGGAGTTAAGTTAGGAGAACAGTGGAGTAGAAGGATATACGGGGGCAGGAAACGTAGCGATCAGTATAATCAAGAAGAAGAGAATTGATAGGGGTTCGGGTGGTTCGGTTTACAGGTTGGTATCGAGAAATTTTATTTGTTCGGCCTGGGCCGGCTCCGTCCCGACAGAAGGGACATCTGTCAATTCTTGCAAGCCCATGGAATGGCTTCTAGATAAGACAACGTCGACGAGAAGAAGCAAAGTGCAAAATGCCCCCGTCGCTAAACTGCCCCCTATCCCTCCCAAGTCATAGGACAAAGGATTAAGGGTCTTTTGTGGATAGGTTCGATTAGTAGAACTTGAATTACCCATGGAGGATAGGGGGACAGTTTAAGGCGACGGGGCATTTTGCAAGCTTTGCTTTTCTCGCGACGTTGTCATTATCGTAGCAAGCCATTCTCATGGGCTTGCAAGAATGACAGAATTCTGCCATAGTGTCCTGGAACGAGCGCTGCTCAGCTTTACAAAAACAGGTTCTTTCAGAGACAACTCGTAAACGAAACTAAGTGAAGCAGCGAAAGTGCAAAATGCCTCCCCCATTCCCTGTTACCAACTGCGCCAGATTACCGTACCAGAGATGGACCTTCTGCCACGAGCTCTTTTCCCATTCCGGGCTTGGCCAAAAGCCCTTTTCCCTACTACGGTCAATCTAAATTTGCACAAGGAATCCCTCAAATATTCTAGTGGAACTAGCCCCATTTCGCAGCTCAAAGCTGTGAGATAAAAGTGCTACGCACCTATTTCCTAGACCTAGCTCCGCCTCAAACCACTCAAACCGGAGTGAGACATGTAAAGAGGAACCAGTCAAGCAGCAAAGGTGCAAAATGCCCTCGTCGCCGCTGCGTGAAGGCAGGACTTCTGCCCAAGCTTAAAAGAAGAAGGAGCTTCCGTCAGAAAGGGAGGGAACTATAGCCACGAGGGCGAAAAAATGAGGTTTCGGGTCCGCCTGGGGAAGACTTCTGCCCACAACCCAACCTTCTTGTGATAATATTGTTTCGTTTTTATCCCAACTATAGAATTTTTTGGACAGAAGCAACACGTGAATGCTCAAGGTTCACCTTACCTTATTAGGTGTCACGCCGTCGTCCATGAGGAATCGTTCAGGCAAAAACCGCTTAGGGTTCTTGAAAACGGGCGAATTTGCCAGGACGTTGCTGATTTGTCCAAAAACCAAAGTGTCAGCTGGGATAGCAACATTGCCAACACTTGTATCCTTCAGGGTACGATGAGCAGCATTGACTGCTATGATGTTTGCGAATCGTTGGAGTTCCAAAACCGCTGCGCTAAAAGGACGTCTTTAAGCTTAGCAATTGGTTTCCATTTCTGGACGCAGCCAGAAAATTTCAATATTTTAAAGTATTATGTAAATAATTTGATTTGCTCACTTAGTGTACGGTAACTTTTGCTTGAGCGACATGCTCGCCTTGTCGTTTTTATGCATAACTGAGAGGATTTCGCTACGGATCTTCTCCTGGAAAAATTTACTCAGCTTAATTACAACATCCGGAGAACTTTTCGATAGCTCTTTCAATGTAAGCTTTGCAACTTGCTGTCAAGGCATGTCCTGCCGTTGAGGGAAATGTAGCCAGGTGGGACCCTTCCAATTTTTTCCCTGGTACCACCTCTTTTTCCAGAGTTTTCTTTTCGAAAATTCTCGTCGTCTATAACTTTGAAAGAAAAAGCTACCGCCTCACGTCAACAACAGTCAAAATTCGGCTACCAAGAACCTTTCTCTCCAGGACAAATACAACCCCACTCTCTTCAGGGACCAAATACAACCCCCTCGCTGGGGATTCCCACGTACAATGTGCCCTGTGAGCTGTACTATCGGTGTAGGAAGAGAAAAGCGCGTGGCGGAAAAGTGAACTAAGTTCTTGTGGGTTTGCCTAAATCGTTTTCTGCCTTAGTACGAGTCCGTCAGAGTGCATCATCTCCTTAAACTGAATGAAGGGATCACCTGCATTTAATCGATCCTTCTGGGTAGGGGGCCATCGCATTCGGCTCCCAATGGTGAGGTGTTCAATGTTTACTGATCCAAAAAGGTCCCACATGGGGCGAGTGCCAATTGTACCTGGTGGTCTTTTTAGGTACACAACTCATGCCTTCACCATTCTTTCACACTACTTGTCTTCACCACTTACTGGTACCCTACTCTCACGACACCCCTCCAACAAGATCGGCTCCTATGGGACCTCAGGCCTGCAAGGCGCTACCTGCAGGCCATGCTACGATCATTAAACCCACACGAAAACACTTACGCTGCACATGCTGTGTGCTTCGCCAGAATCAGTGCAGCCCATCTGAGCGTTGTGGCTGTAGTTTCCATTCCTGCCAGATTAAGATCTGAGCACACATTGATGAGGTTATCCGCGGCTGAAATTAAGAATCAGAGCAGCAAAAAAGAAAATCCTGCAATAAGGCATTCGCTTGCCTGCAAAAAATGTTTGGTTTCATGTGTTGGCAGTAGGCGTGAACAAAACATTCCGGTTCCTGGCTCTCATCCCATGAGCTCAGAGCTTTCTTTATATCTTCCTTGACATTGCTCACTATCTAAATAAAAAGGTGAAGGAGAGCTTGGAAAACAAAAGCTGGCTAAAGCGAGTACAGTAAGGGAGAACGCGTGTCGCGGTAATACATTTGCCTACACATGGACCAGGACCTAATCGATTTAACATGCAAGTTATTGAGAACGTTCAGTCAACTAAAAACACTCTCACTTGCTCCAACCTGGCTCAATCCCCATGAGGACTCATTCACTGCGCATTCGAGTGACTGCGTCCACACATGTCAGTACAATAACGCACTCTCCGGTAAAGAGTGCAGCGAAAAGGCTTAGAGAGCAGTGATGCCCGACTGCCGTGTCGCCGGCTCCCGCCGCGCTGCGCGCGGCTAGCCACAGTCGTGGGCGCCGAACCATAACCAAACGCGCTAGTTGTCTGCGCTCTCTCACTTCTGGTTGTTCTCCACATGTGACTGAGTGTTCGTCGAGGGATTCCGTTGCGGACAGTAACTGCTGGGCATCTAAAAGATGCGCGGGCGAATGGAGACGGCACTCGGGCTAAACACCCCTCCAACCCCGTTTCCGTGCTCTCCTGAGCAAAGAAAGTGGCACGCTACTGCAGCTGCAGACGATTCGCCTCGCACATGGCAAGGGCCAGGATCCACGGAGGTGAGCGTACGATTCATCGTAAATGCACAATCCGCGGTCGCAGTAGCCGTTCTACCATCGTGCCTGTCTCATGGGTAGGCCCTTCTTTCCAAAACGATTTAGTGTGGGAAGCGTCGATGGGGAAGACACAATGGTACGCCCGCTTATGCGATACGGCCTGTACGACTCCGCCCACACGACAGGCGTGGAATGTATCTTTGAATTTAAGTGAAATAAACGACGAAACTTTACTTTTTGCATCAGCTTCTCATGCTTTCCTATAAACAGACTCCGTAGCATTGGAATATTGAAAACAAAAGGCACCAATTGAGCGATGAATATCGTCTTGCTGCATCTAGAAGAAATCCAGTGAAAAAATTCAAAATAACTGGAGCGAATTGTGTGAACCAACCAAACCTCGTCTCGTCGAACAACACAGCAAGGGCATCGGCCACTCTCATAAGGCGGTCGGTGTTATCGTAAGTGTATCCATATCCATATAAGGTCCTACTGATAACGTTCGCTACGAAAACCTTAATAGAAAGAAGTTAAAGGCGCGGATTAAGATCATCTTAATTTTTCTAATGTTCATGAGAGAAAAGTCGGATCATATGTACCTTGACACTTCAACCTCTACTGAGTTCGGAGTTCCGCTCTCAGTAGAGGTTGAGTGTCAGGTACATATGTAGCCGTATTTGCCAAAATTCCGAAGATCAAGTGGGCCAGGCAAGTCACGCGTTTCTGAGATGACCGCTGGACCAGAGCGATTACCGACTGGATTCCACGGGATGTCAAGCGAACACCTGGACGACCGCCTACGCGATGGTCAGACTTCTTCGTGAAAGCTCTGAACGAATGGATGAATGTTCACCGTGTCCCTTGAACTCACAGGGCAACCTTCGTAGTCGATAATGTAGCAAACAGTCAGTGCTAAGTGAGGAGGTGCGCAACGACCTCGCTGGCAGTGGAGATAGTTAGTGATCGACCCTCGAGGAAAATAACCAGGGTAGAAAGCCGCTGGTAAGCTCAGTCAACTCCTCTTCAAACCGCCCCGACTGACTGCGACGATACCACCTGTACTCCTCACACTGCTCAAAGTTAACTGGAAATACGAGGGTCTTATTCAGAGCGCCCTCAATTGTTTTCCTCTCCTTCTTTGTCTCTCCACTACCATCTCAGCTAGCACCTACAACCAGGGCACGCCATCACGTTGTGATCAATTCCTGAAAAAAACGACTTCCC